TATTTACTGCAGCTAGGATTGCTCAGCTCATCAGACTCAGTTTCTAGGGGGGCTGACAAAAGAAAATTGGTGAGCCCAGGCTGGACTTAGAGAGACCTTCAGCTTCAAACAAACTAACAAAAAATTACTCACTTCAGTGAAAAAAAATATGAGTTAATAGATGTTTAAAAATGTATATATGTACATATAACTGTATTCTGGAATACAAATTTTTTAATACATTAGCTACTAAAAAAGGGCTTCATACATATTTATACCTTGGACTCTGGAAATACTTTTCTAGGAATCATTTATAGGAAAATTATATGAAAAAAGATGTGCTTTAATACAAAATTTTAAACTGATTGTCTGACTGGGTTCAGTGACTCATGCCTGTAACTCCAGTAGCTTGGGAAGCCAAGATAGGCAGATTGTTTGAGCTCAGGAATTCAAGACCAGCCCAGGCAACACAGTAAAACCCCATCTCTGCAAAAAAAAAAAAAAAAAAATTAGCTGGGTGTGGCAGCACAGGACTGTAATCCCAGTTACCTGGGAGGCTGAGGTGGGAGGATCACTTGAGCTTGGGAGATTTGTTGAGGCTACAGATCACACCACTGCACTCCATCCGGGGCTAAAGAGTGAGACGGTCTCAAAAAAAATGAATAAATACATTGAAATATAAAATAAAATAAATGGATTGTTTGAGTATTTCTTATTTACATTTTAATTTTGTTATGATGTATTTTGGTCTGACACATTGCATACATATTGTCAAAATATTAAAAATAGACATTAAAATAGACAAATATATGACATCATTCACAATCTTATCATCCAGGTATATACAGGTATATACAAACACTGTTCACTTTCTCCAGATAATTATTTGTTTATGTAATTGTGATAATTATATACATAAAAACATATGAAAACACATTTAAAAAATTATTTCTTAACAGCACATGAGTTTAACATGTTATAATTCATAAAATTAAAATTTAAATAAGTAAACAGTAATAAACTGAACATTAAATTATAAAATTCATTAAGCTGCAATATTAGATTAATTTTCTATTTAACTGAAATTTGTATGCAGCCTCATATTATTTAAATTATAGCTAAAATATTTTATTAAAATAAATACTGGGAAAAACATTTTATGATTAAGGGGAAAGATCAGAAAGGTAGTTGAAAATATAGTAGAAATTATTCCTTTTATAAATTAATCTAAGAAAGCAGAACTATAAAAAAATTATTAGTAAATCAGACAGAAAATCAAACACTGCATGTTCTCACTCATAGGAGGGTGATGAACAATGAGAACACATGGACACAGGGAGGGGAGCATCACACACTGAGGTCTGTTAGGGGGAACTAGAGGAGGGACAGTGGGGGGTAGGGAGTTGAGGAGGGATAACATGGGGACAAATGCCAGATATAGGTGATGGGGAGAAAGGCAGCAAACCACATTGCCATGTATGTACCTATGCAACAGTCCTATATGTTCTTCACATGTGCCCCAAAACTTAAAATGCGATTAAAAAAAAAATTACAGGTTGAAATTTAAGCAAATGAACCAGAAAAAAAAAGAAATATAAAGAAATATGTATCAAAGTTAAAACTTTTAAAATAAATCTCAAAATCATTTTTTAAAAAGTTTCTTGTTTTTTGACAACTGTCTTATTTATCTATTTTTGTGTAACAAATAACCCCAGAACTTAGACCCTAAAATAACAAACATTTATTATGTTGTAGTTTCTTTGCATGAGGAATCTGAGTATGACTTTCCTTGGCCCTCTTGTTCAGGGTCTCACAGGCTGCAATCAAGGTGTCAGCCAGGACTGCAGTCAGCTCAAGCTTAACCAGCAAGGATTAGCTTCCAAGCTCACTCATGCATTTGCTGGCAAGGTTCCATTTTGGGTTTTCGGAACAAAGGCCTCAAATCCTTGCTGCCTGTCCTAGTTCTTTACAGCATGTGCCTCTCCATAAGGCAGGAAATACATGGCAGCTTGGTTCAGCACAGCAAGCAAGAGAGAAGCAGAGAAACAGAATGTGTAAGAAAATGCTAGCAAGATAAGAGCCGTGGTGTTTTTGTAACCTAATAAGTCACATACAATCACTTTTGCACTATTCTATTCCTGAGAAGTGGGTCACTAGATGTAGCTCACACTTAAGGGGTGGGGATTATCCATCTTGCTTGAATAACAGGAGAGGGATCACTGAGGACTGTCTTAGAACCTGTGCACCACTGTGACACATTTAGTGAGAGTATGGTATGTGATAATGCCGCTCAAAATTCTGAACAGTTTTTGGTTGGACAGTCTCATGAATGGCAGAGATGGTAAATTGATAAATCTTTCAGGATACCCATCTGAAAATAAATATTAAACACCATGTTTTATTTTAATCTGACCGAAACTATCTATTGTTAGGTCTTTAAAGAAATGCGAATGCATGTGCACAAATATATACTTATAGTAATGGCCATCACAATGTGGTTAAGAGTAACAAGAGGAATCATTTTGAATTTTTACAATAGTGGATTGGTTAAATGGCTGCATACTTATCTTTGCTATTTTAAGTGATGTTTAGAATAATTTCTATCGATATAAGATAGATAAAAACAAATGACAGAGTAATGAAATAATATTTGAACCTCTTTTCATTACTGTGTAGCCTATCCCTCTATCTATGCATCTATATATATATATTCTATAACTTCTTTAAAATAGATGTTACCTGTTTCTCATTAAAGTAAATTTAATTTTTATTGTATTAATTTTCATTAGGTAAAAACTAAAGTTAAACAAAGAGCAACTGCCATCCCAGAACCTGTAGATAAACATTATATACAGTTTATATATAATGGCAGCTGTTCTTTTATGTGTGTGTGTATATATAAAGGCAGTTGCTCTTTTATATATATATATAATGTTTTGTAAAATTATATATATAAATATATATACATATATATAATGTTTATCTACAGGTTCTGGGATGGCAGTTGCTCTTTTTTAACTTTAGTTTTTACTTAATGAAAATTAATACAATAAAAATTAAATTTACTTTAATGAGAAACAGGTAACATCTATTTTATTTTAAAGAAGTTACAGAATTGAAACATAAAAAGTAGAAGCAAATACATTTGCTATTCAAAACACCCGCAAAAGAGAGAATAATAAAAAGAAAGGAAGGAAAGAATGAAAGAATAAAGGCAAGAAAAAGGAAAAAAAGAAAGGAATATGGAAAAAGAAGAAAGGATGACAGAATAGGAAGAGGAAACATGGAGAAAGAAAAGAAAGAGAGAAAGATTATATTATCATATTTAACTCTCTAATCTACTTTACCATGGTGAATTTAATTTAGCTTGATTTGTTCACAAGTTACTGTGTGCTCATTTTCTATCCCTGCGTAAACCCTCACATATGTTGAATGATAGATTGAATATTTTATTACTTTCTTTTTAGATAAAAACTTGGAAGACATAAAGCAGAAATCTATTTAACATTTTAACAGAATAAAAAGATCTTTATTTTTGCAAGTATTTGTGTGCGTGTTGGAGGGATATATTCTCTAATAAATGATGTATTACATTCATTCTCTGAAGGGATGCAAATAATTAAAAATTCTGGTAACTACTGACTTATTGGACAATTTAACAATTTTGTACACTCATGGAAGTCTTTGTTTCTTATGAAAATATTTTGTTGCTTAATTATGTGCAAGTTCTTAAAGAGAAAATCATGCGTATGTCATTTAATCAATATCACCATATAAGCAAAGTTGAGAAATATTGGATTGGAGACTGGAGGTATCTGTTCCTCTTCCAGATGCAAGGCTGTCTAAGGACATAGCTTTAACATTTGAGTATCAGTTGGAAATGGAGTGAATCATAACTACCTCTCAGAGTTACTGTTGTTAAAATTTAGTGAAACTGTATATAGAAAAAAAAAACTAAATTGTAGGCAAGTAACTCAGACTATTACTAGGTAATTCCATTATTTAGGTACAATCAGTAAGTACTCTACTAGAATTATAGAAATGCTCAGTAAACTTATCAGCATAGTTATTTTAAAAGCATATCAAATTTAATTAATACTTTAAAAATGTTTGAACCAGTTATTGAACATAAATAAAAGAGTACATAATTTTAATTAACTAAATTGACTACTAAACGGGCAGGAATGTGTGAACACATCTGTGAACAGAAGCTTGTTTATAAAAATCCATTGCAACCACAAAGCCAAACAATATTTGTACGAGCTTATTGTAAAATCAGTGAAAATATGTTATCATTTAAACATGTTGCCATGTTTAAATGATGTTAGTCTCTAAAGACACATACTGACTCAATAGAATTCTAGCAGATAATTGTTATGCAAAAAAATTGAACTTCATTTAAAATTGAGTTCAGCTATTTTCTCAAGAAACAAAATCCTCATATAATTTCTACTTCCATTTCTTATGTACAAAATAAAAGAACATGACAACATGATTGATGAAATTTCATTCAACTTTATATTCAAAAAAATTTATATATTTGGACCAAAGATGAATTACAGATCTCTCAGAAATTATGCTAGAAGGTAAAATTCTATGAAAATTGTTCTCTCAATAGAACCAATGTGAACATATTATGATACAGCATTTTCAAACATTTTATTTATGAAATATATTTTAAGCCAAAAATATATTAAATGAAGTATTGCAATTCAGTCATTTTAGCTTTTACAGTTTATCAAATTTTACTAGTTTACATATTAAAAAGAAGCAACATTTTCTTAAGTATGGAATCATATGGGTAATTTATAATTTATTTTATTTAATAAATATTAAATCTTGACATCATGATTGATATAATTTCTATGCCCAATTCAAAATCTTAATGTAAGTTTGAGAATATGTTTATTATGACATGAAAAATAAGTATATTTGAGTTTAACATTTAATCTTAGAGCTATGAGACACATTTACATGAGGAGCAAGTACTTTTTTTTTGCTAATGCAATATTCTCTTTTAGAGTACAGTTGGCCTTTTGTGTTGGTGGATTCTCCGTGGTATGGATTTAACCAACCACTAATCAACACTGCAGACTCTAAAAATCGGTGGAGAAGAAGGGGGACAACGACTGAAAAACTGCCTGCTGGGTATGATGTTTGTTATTTGGCTGATGGGCTCATTAGAAGTCTAAACCGCAACACTATACAAATATTCATGTAACAAATCTATATATATAATTCCCTGAATCTAAAAATGCATGTATATGTTCAAAAAATTGTGTCTGTACTATGTACAGGGTTTTTCTTAACAATTACAGACTTAGTATTTACCTTGTCTTAGGTATTATAAGTAATCTAGAAATGATTTAATATATACAGAAGGCTATGTGTAGGTTATATGCAAATATGATGCCATTTTATATTAGGACCTAGAGTATCTGCAGATTTGGGTGTGCGCAGAATGTCCTGGTAACAATTTCCCATAGGAACCAAAGAAGGATTGCAGTTCTAAGAATTTAATCAAGCTGGATTATCTGCTCCTTATAAATACAAGGTTTTTTTGTTTGCTTTTTGTTTTTTGTTTTTTAAGACAGAGTCTTGCTCTGTCGCCCAGGCTGGAGTCCAGTGGCATGATCTCGGCTCACTGCCACCTCTGCCTCCCAGGTTCAAGCAATTCCTTGCCTCAGCCTCCTGAGTAGCTGAAATTACAGGCATGAGTCACCATGACTGGCTAATTTTTGTATGTTTAATAGAGATGGGGTTTCACCATCTTGTCCAGGCTGGTCTCAAACTCCTGACCTTGTGATCCACCCACCTCAGCCTCCCAAAGTGCTGGGATTATACTTATTTTATTCTGTGCCTGGCCATACTTATTTTATTCTTTGGATTAGATCAGCAGTGAGCATCCTTTTTTCATATGGAAAAAAGTAGACTCTAGAATGCTTAGTTGGTTGAATGAATAAACAAATGAATAAAGTGTAACTCAGTCATTTGAATCTTCACTATTACCATGCTTACTGTCAGTTTGTGTACAGATATAAAGTCATTTTGCATCATAGTGATGCCTTAGATAGAATAGACATCTCTTAAAGTATAGTCACCTCTCTAATGCTCAGTATTTTTTAATCTTTTCCACTCTATTAATTTACCCCTCTTTTCATAAGTTTAGTCCATGTAGGTCTATTATTTGTATGTATAAATTGAAAACATAATAAATTTTGTTTGCTTAACAGTATATCCACAACTCCATTAACCTCAAAACCCTGCTTTATAGAATCTTATCATCACATTTTATTTTTTCTAATGTTCAAAAATAAATAGGCTGGGTACAGTGGCTCATGCCTATAATCCTAGCACTTTGAGAGGCTGAGGTGGTCAGATGACTTGAGGTCAGGATTGGAGACTAGCCTCCCCAACAGGGTTAAAATCTGTCTCTACCAAAAATACAAAAATTAGCTGGCTGTGGTGTCACGCACCTATAGCCTCAGCTACTAAAAAGACTGAGGCAGGAGAATCCCTTGAACCCAGGAGGCAGAGGTTGTGGTGAGCTGAGATCACATCACTGCACTCCAGCCTGGGCAACAGAGCGAGACTCCATCTCACAATAAATAAATAAATAATAAAAATTAATTACTTAATAAATAATGTTTGGGGAAAGTTTTCCTATAATTTTAGAAAAATTACACATATACTATTACTTTAATCAGCAAACAGACCCCACTGTTTTTATAAAGATTGCATACTTTTAAAATTTGTATTTTGAAACTTTCACAAAATATGAACTAAATGGACAGTTCTGATATTCAGTGGCTCTCTTTTCGATGGGTTGGCTAACCCTTTGCTCTAAAACATCTGTATCTATTTTCAGTCTTTTTTATTGTCTCTCCTTTTCTTTATGTCTCAACTATTATTTCAATTTTTTGTCTCTATTTATTTTCATGTTTTTACTTTTCTTTTGGATAACTTGAGTGTATCATTTTAATCGAATACTCATTGCTTATTGCCAGTGAATGATATAGCTTTGTGTTACCTCTCTTCAAAAATAGTGGGTTTTAGGATACATTTTGTCTTCGTCTGTGATAAAAATTGTACCATACAAAAGCTGTATCTCAATTGTGAACCTCAAATCATTTGTTATCAGCTCATGCTGAGTTTTTATATTGTGGCAACTCCATATATCTTCACAAATGTGAGATTATTTTCCTTGTTCCTTTTTATGGCCATGTGAATTTTCTTAAATTTAGAGCTATAATAAAGAAGCTGGTTGAAGCCCTTAATGTCTTTTTATCTTCACCTCTAGGATCAAGATGAGCTATATTAAAGATTGATATAGTCTTTATGAAAATGTGCCTCATTAGTTGGCTGCAAGAAAGTTATTCAGCCTACAAAAGGAAAAAGGTATGTTCTAGCTTTAATATGTGTTTAAATAAGAAAAATTTTCCCATAGCTAATTCTTAAACATATATCACTAAAAGCCCTTCACTCTTGAGATGCAATTATGCTGAAGTGCTCTAAGTGGTGAGCTATATGATAATGGCATTTGAAGGAAATTTTTGTCTAGCATGTAGAAGAGTAAATCAAAGCCAGTTGAGAAGGGACTATGTTTAAGGAAATATTTCCTTATTTTGAGAAATAAACACTGCCAAGTACTCCCTATTTTTATGACAACCTAAGATATTAATGCTTGTGAAAGCACTTTACAAATTTTTGAACCTATGCAAATTGTTCCCTTTTTATCTAAAACATAGTGTAGAAATGGTTTGCATAGACTTGGAGGTCCTATTATCAAATTAATAGCTGCCAGGAAGAGCAGTTAAATGAGAGTGGTTGGGGGAAATTAACTTTTCTTAAAGAATATCTGAGAACAAACAGGAGTAGATACAACTATGAATGAGTCTGGTAGTGGCTAATCATATATAAATTTCATTCTAAGAGGCACTGCTACCCTTTGTCCTTGATAGAACTTTTGTGTCATGCTGCTTCTAAGTATAATTAAAGCAATTAATGTGCCATATTCTTAATAAATCACTATCTTTCTATAGTATGCTTACAAGCTAGTGGGATATGTCTTATGCCACAGGTTTTTGAAATGCGTTTTATGCGTATAGAAAATCTAATTAGATACAACTTCTCCTACTGGACTGTTGGGAGCCCAATACGTAGGCATAGGGCTTAGAAATAATGATTTACTTTTCAAAGAAAAGTCAAAAGTGGTGACATTTTATATCCCTGCATTTTTTATTCACACCTTTCACTTTGAGTGATATTTTATCTATATTAGAACTTCTTGAAGAAACAAATGCATCCTATTCCATATTTAAGAATCATTTCTGATTCTGAGAGATTATTTTTAGTTATTGCTGTTTTGGGGTATTAATCCACAGTAGTTAAAGCAAGTTGTACAAAGAAATGACACCATGCTGATACACCAACAACAGCTATGTTCAATGGGCAGACAATTTTGAGGCTTAAGAGACAGGAAAGTAAATGAAAGGCACAGAAAGCTGGCACACAGGGTTGCACAATAGAATGCATGTGTATCTCAGGGTTGCCCAATAGAATGCATGTGTATCTCAGTGTTGCTGGATATAATATATCCCAGAAGTAGCCTAAAATCTGGAACTTTATGTGAAATACAGTTTTTTTTTTTTTTAAAAAAGAGTGTCTGGCCCAAGCAAAGCACGTCTGCAATTCATATGTGCTTTGTCAGATCTAATTTTTTTCAGACCAAATGTATTCTATCAGAACTTTTTTAGATTGCATGTAATGAAAAAAGTTAGTAGTTATTAATTAACATTCTTTTTTTCATGTAAAGAGAATCTTCATTTAGGTAGTTGATGATATCAAGTTCCATATAATTTGTTTTCTTCCATCTGTTTTACTCTGACATTTCTAGACAGGGGCTCCCACCTTATGGGCCAAAATAAGTACTGTGAAAGAAAATCAAAACTGTGGACCCAAACTCACTATGCCAAAGGGAGAGTTAAGCTTGGGAACAGAGTCATGCAATATTACTTTCCTTTTGTTTCCAAACAGAGCTGTCATTTAACAACGCTTGTGTTGTTAGCTTCATGTGTGTCATACCCTCATTCATAAGCCAGGTTCCCACAATCATAGAAGGCCACATATGTCCCTCAATGGCCTCCTTCACAGATTGCTCACAGTGAAATTCACTGTGAGCCCCTAAATCTTTCAGGATACATATCCTACCTATAAACTAGCCTGAAACTGAGTTCTGTTGAATCTCACCCTGATGATGTCAATTACTAGCTTATCTTCACAGCTACAGGACAAGGACAAGACCAGAAATCATCCTTGCACCTACATTGAGAGGAATGCATGATTGACTTTCCTCTACTCCCTCTTTTCACATCTTTATCTTATGTAAAATGTAGATGTACTGAGTACAGACAAATGCATAATTGACTTTTTCCTCTGTTCCCTCTTTTCACAAATAAAATGTGTATTTAAGGAGCCCTAATCAGAGCCTCACAATAATGTAACCATTTGCCTCACTGCCTACCTTTCCTTCTTTTTTGGCCTCCTGCTTACTCTTTCCCCTTTAAATATGGAAGTTCCCCAACTCTTCGAAAAAAGCACAGGTCACAGAGGCTCCTGTGCCTTGTGTTTTCCAGGGTGCGTCTTCAATCTTTGACTAAACAAACCTTTTACCTTCAAGGCATCTGGCTTGGTCACTTTTTCGTTAACAATCCTAATGCTTCATCCATTGCATTCTTGTTCCAGACTATCCTCTTAGGTTTCAATCAGCCTAGTTGTGCTAACTCTTCACATTGACTCAGATGTTGTATTGGTCCATTTTCATGCTGCTAATAAAGAATACCCAAGACTTGGATAATTAATAATGAAAAAGAGGTTTAATTGGCTCACAGTTCTACATGGCTGGGGAGGCCTCACAATAATGGCAGAAGGTGAAAGAGGATCAGAGGCATGTCTTACATGGTCGCAGGCAAGAGTGTGTGAGCAGGGGAACTGCCCTTTTATAAAACTACCAGGTCTCATGAGACTCATTCACTATTGTGAGAAAAGTACAGGGGAAACTTGCCCCCATGATTCAATTCTCTCCCACCAGCTCCCTCCCATGGCAAGTGAGGATTATAACAATTTAAGAAGAGATTTGGTCGAGACCATCTTGGTCAACATGGTGAAACCCTGTCTCTACTAAAAATACAAAAAATTAGCTGGGCATAGTGGCACGTGCCTGTAATCCCAGCTACTCAGGAGGCTGAGGCAGGAGAATTGCCTGAACCCAGGAGACGGGGGTTGCGGTGAGCCAAGATCGTGCCATTGGCACTCCAACCTGGGTAACAAGAGCAAAACTCTGTCTCAAAAAAAAAAAAAAGGAAATTTGGATGGGAACACAGAGCCAACCATATCAGTTGCCAATGAAATACATTTTGAATTTATGGTTTATTAAAAGACTTTTACATACCAGCAATTATGCACACACATTCAGTAATAAGAGAGGAGGTAACAAACCATAGCAAGTAGCATGGGAGACCAGCACACTGAGTGATGAGTGGGGCAGTTCTGGATTTCCCAAGACATGCTGACAGGGCTCAGGGAGGAGGTTGACTGCTCTTTTGAAGAAAAGTTTTCTGTGGCATCTGTGGAGAGAGGGCCTCAGAATTTTCATGAGCAGAGCTTCTGCAGGCATCTTGGCCATGATCAGTGTCCTTGATGTGTTATGGCCCTCTGTAGGAATGTCCAGGGTCATTATCGAAGCTACCTTTTAGCGATGCCCATCACATAGTAAGTGTTAGAAGACATTAGCTATTATTTAACAATATTGACACAAAATAGTGAAAGAGAAGCTCTTTCAAGACAGCAGGAAAAAACATCTGATAGGAGTCTAACTAAGAATGGCCTTAATCCACAGATTTGGCGAGTGATAGTCTTAAGTAGGCCATCCATAATTTATGATGCACCAACTTTCCTAAGAATTTAGGGTTGCATAAAAGAGCAAATATGTTTAATACCTTAAAGGAACTTAAAGTGGAACAAATTCAAGGTAAGAAGAAAATAATACTGAAAAACTTTATGTGGATAGAGTTTATAAATTTCCCTGTTCTATAAATTATGGCACCAAGGCAGAGTGTGCTTAATCTTCCCAAGGTCACCTGGCTAGGAAATGTTAAAGTAAGGGTACCAAGTCAGACAGTCTGAATTTCTAAAAGCATAATGTTAGCTACAAAAGCAACTCAAAGGGAAGAATATCATTCAGTAGACATGGGAGTCCGATTAGAGATCAGGCACCTTTATCTATCATTGACTTTCACAAGGATACGCAGAAGAAAGAACAGGTATGTTAAGTATCAGAACTATCTGCAGGCCTACTGGTGCTAGGGTGACAGAAATACAGAATGTTGCTCTTTTTTATGGCTTTGGTTTTTAACCTTAATTTGTTTTTTTTACCTTACTTTGAAGGCTTAGTTTTATTTTTCTGAGGGAAGAAAGCAGTAGCAAAATTACTAGGAATGCTTAAAACTTTTAGACTTCCTGGTCAATTATTTTTGTAAAAAAGTATTTAAACAGAATCCCCCCCACTCTTTTTTTTTTGTCTGAGACTGAGTCTTGCTTAGTTGCCCAGGCTGGAGTACGATGGCATGATCTCAGCTCACTGCAACATCTGCCTCCTGCCTCTCAGGTTCAAGTGATTCTTCTGCCTCAGCCTCCTGAGTAGCTGGGATTACAGGCATTCACCACCACAGCTGGTTAATGTTTGTATTTTTAATAGAGATAGGGTTTCACCATGTTGGTCAGGCTGGTCTCTAACTCCTGACCTTGTGATCCACCCACCTCAGCCTCCCAACATGCTGGGATTACAGATGTGGGCCACTAGGCCTGACTGAGAATCCAGTTCTTTTTTTTTTTTCTTTTTGAGACAGAGTCTCACTCCATCACCAGGCGCCGGGCAGGAGTGCAGTGGCGCAACCTCGGCTCACTGCAACCTCCTCCTCCCGGGTTCAAGCAATTCTCCTGCCTCAGCCTCCCGAGTAGCTGGGACTACAGGCAGGAGCCGCCACGCCCAGCTAATTTTTTTGTATTTTTAGTAGAGATGTGGTTTCACCATATTGGCCAGGATGATCTGGATCGCTTGACCTCGTGATCTGCCCTCCTCAGCCTCCCAGAGTGTTGGGATTACAGGCGTGAGCCACCGCACCTGGCGGAGAATCCAATTCTTATATGTCAAATGAAAAGACAATTCAAGCTTAAATGATCATAATCTGGGAATGACCCTTACATGGTTGTGAATATTATTCAAGTACTGCTGCTCAGAGACATCATGTTCTGACATGAATAGCATATTTATTTGTCTTACACATTAACAACTTCATTCATAACATTTAGAAGGTTATTTCTTCTTTTGTTTTCTCTTG